GGGCCAGCGGCGCGTTATTACGGGAACAGCACGCGGACGGCCCGCCCGCGCTGGATGAGAGGCTGTTGACTTTTCAGGGCGAGACCCACTGCTCCTGGCACCCGGAGGGCTGCCGGCGCAGCGCTGGCCCCAGACGCAGGCCTCGGGCCGGGCCTCTGCAGGCTTTGGCCTGAAGACCAGTGGCAGCGTCCAGCCTGAGTCATTCCTTCCCTGCGGCGCACACCAGGGAAGGAAGGGCTATCCCTGGGCCAGGGGCTTCTAGTTTAAAGGCACAGCTTCACTGTCCGAACACCATGCCCCTCACCCAGCCATCTTGGGCCTAGAATCTCACCCTGGGAGATCCGTTCTTTTGCCTTTGTCGAAAATACTCTTGGAAGTAACTCTCATTTGAAAAATTCAATGCTGTCTTCATCGAGCACGTAATGTGGGCAAGTCACTGAGCTGGGGACCATGGGGACCAGGAATATGGAAGATTCCCTGCAGGAAAGCAGGCACCTGGAGGGGCCACCTGGACAGGTCTGAACACAACCCAGGGTCTAGAAGGGAGGGCAGGCCTCCGGAGGCGGGGGGCACCGCGGAGAAAGGCCTTTAGTCCTGGAGGGGGCAGGAGTTGGCGGAAGGGTGGGGTGTGTTCAGGGAACAGTGAGTCACGTGCTGCAGCCCAGGGAGAAGGGTGAACTCTCTGCCCTTGAGTGGAGGCTGGAGGCAGGTGGAAGCCCGCTGGGGGGTCTGCACAGCAGAGATGGTGGGGGCCCGGGTAGGTGGGCTGGTCTGAGACTCTCCCTCCCTGAGAGATGGGCCTGGAGCACCTGGAAGGGAGCATCCCCGAGGGCGGGGAGGAGAGAGGTTCCCCACTGAGCAGGGAAGCATTTCAAAGACCAGGGGAGGCTGCTGAGAAGACACACAGGGCCCTTGAGAAACTTGGGGCTGGGTCAGAACCCAGTACTTACAACGCCTCTAGGCCCACAGGTGGGAGGGTGGTCCTGACTGGGAGAGACTTGTCTTTTATCTCATCCTCATTCTAAGACCTCATTACCAGCCCGACCACTTTTAACAGCCCTCTGTGCTAAGCAAGGTCTGCTGTTTCCAGTTCACGCACAGAGAGGCTAAGGCCTGGGCGAGAGGAAGTACACATTCTGCTTTCTATTAACCACTGGCCTTTTAGGGTGCATATTTGTTTCTGTTTAAAAAATTAAAAAAATTTTTTTAGATAGTTCAGACACTCACAGGGGTCAAAATTCAAAATGTCCGGATGAAAATCTCTCTTTGAGCCCTACTCTCTCAGCTGCCCAGATCACCTGTTACCAGTTTGAACTCAAGCCTTTTGACTATGGGTCCAGGGCCCTTTCTGCCATGGCCAGGCAGGGGCTCAGGGACACAGCACCTGGCAGATTCAGGAAAGCCCCAGGCCAGTGTCACCCGGCAGGGGTGTTACACCTCTTCTTAGCAAGTCTGCTGTCTTCTTTCATCTTAGGCATATAAGTTTATCTTTAGATCCCAAACTCCTTGGGGGCAGGGAGTATGTCTTCAACTTCCAGGAGGCAGCAGAGTAGGGGTTAAAATGATAGGCTACCATGCTGTGTGACCCTGAGCAAGTTCCTTAGGCTCTCTGAGCTTCCACTTTTCAACCAGATTAACAAGGCTCTCACCAACCGCACAGGGCTGTGTGGGGACTGGATGTCTTATGACTCACGTCCCGTGTTCAGCCCTGTGCCAGGGCAGGGCCTGACTCTGGAAGTGGGAACTGCTGTCACTCCCAGTGTCCTGAGGCCACTGTGTGTGTCCACAGCATGACAGACAGGGCACCCTTTTAAATGGAATCCTGAAGGAGGGTTAGGGGTCTCAGGCCCCTAATTAAAGGCAAATTGCCATAGTGGGTCACCCAAATCCATATATTTGAACAAACTGCTCTCCCTGGACTGGTTCCACCCTTCCCTTTTGTGAAACCAGCCCTTTCAAGGCCAGGCCATTCACTGTCCCCTCTTCAGGTGGTTTGTCTGGAGCACCGGGCATTTTGAGGCCAACAGAAGGGCTGATTTTGTCTGATGTGAGTCTGAGTGATACACAGGGAAAACACCACATGGCTTCTCCCAGGGTGGATAGGCTGAGTCACAGGATGGTCACCCCTGCCCTGGGGCTGCCTAGGGCAAGTGACTCATGGCCTCTGCCCCTGGCCTGGTCCCTAGCCGCCTGACCTCTGCCCCTCGGAGGGTACGTCCTCCACCCTGAGACTCTCCGCCAACCCTGGGTTGGAAGGGAGCCCAGCAGCAGGAATAGGCTCACCCGTCAGGGTTTGTACCTGGCTCCAGCGCCTTCCGCGGTTCCCTCCTGGCTGCCGCGGACGTCCCCTCCCAGCCTTCTAACAGGCCTACTCCCTCCCACGGGCCCTCCTGCCTTGGGCCCCAGGTGAATGCTCTGTGCGGTGGATTCCAAGGCTCTTCGATGGGACAGTTACTTACGCCTTCGAGAGAACATCTCTGTAATCCTGTTTCCATGAAAGGGCAGAATGATCTGGTGGAGCTGGTGGTCCCCATCCACCTTACTGTCAATAAACAATGTACAACTTTGTTTACTCTTCTGTTAAAAGAGGCATTCCTTCCCTCTCCAACTCAAGTTTTGTAAAGAGACAAAATATATAGGCCAGCAAGGATTACGGGGTAAATGACTGTCCGGCGGAACAATGGTGCAATCCCCGACGTCCAGGGATAGACTCGCACCACCAGCAAGAGAGCCAGGGAACAGGGAAGTCTGAGCTGGACCCAGCGCAGGGCGGGGAGGAGGGAGGGCGGTGCTTGCTGAGGGGCAGGCCCAGGCGCAGGGCAACCGGGGGACACTGGGAGGGCTCTGTGCTGTCCCCTCAGCCCCTGGGGTCGTCCCACCCCGATCTCCAGACCCACGTCCTCTTCTTGCCCAGAACCTCGAGCCCCAACTTCCTATCACCCAGAACCCTGCGTCTGCGGCTCGGCTGCCACTGGTTGGCAGGGTTGGGGGGCTGCCTTTCCCGGGTGCTCGCGTCGCAAACAGGGCCTCAGGCGTGGAGACCCGCTGTCCTGGGGTGGGGCGGGCTAAGACACGGGTGCCCAGGGACGGGGGTCACTGGGAGACAGACCTCGGGCTGGGAAACGGGGAGGCTCGGAGCCCTTTCCTGTGGGGGAGGGGCCGGCTCACCCCGTGTCCTCCCGCGCTGTGGAAACTGAGGCCCCAAGTGGGAAGCCCGGAGGAGCAGCCAGTCCGGAGCAAGGGGTCCCAGCCCCCAGC